GTAGAACTCCAGTGGTCTAAAGTAATGGTTAGGAACTCAAACCTTTGTTGTGTTATTTTTTCCTTCATAAATCTGTAAAATGCAGGTTCTGTAGAATAAAAAAAAAAAAGAAATTTAAAAGTGTTTTGATTTTAGAGCTGAGGTGAAGACAAGTTAGCAAGCCATCTCTGCAAAATTTCACTGCCACGGTGCAGCTTCCAGACTTGCTGTATGTAATTAAGAATAAAGTATGCAAGCTAACAAGTTCTAGTAGATAAGCTGCTCTGACTAAGAGATAAATCAAGAGGCTAGTCCAAAACAATTCCTTTGCTAGAGTCTATAATTAGCGAAAACTGTTTGCAGGGAATGTTTCTGTACCATCTGCTGCCCACTGGAGTAAGTAGAGTGGTGCTGGAAAAGAGAGATAACTGGGTGACCACAGATTATAAATGTTGTCTTAATTTCTCATTTAGCTCCTTTATCATTTGATAACTTCTTCATTTCATTTCATTCCTAATGCTTCCTGCCTTCTTTGTCAGTCATAGGTGTGTTGAAACAGTGCTGCTGCCTTGGAGCATCCAAGAGACTTTGTTTGCCACCAGTTTCAGATCAGAATTGCTGTATCTTACTTGAAAATTTCCGTGATTTGTCAGGACATGGGAGACATTAAATTTCTCTATAGATTTAAGTTTGTGTTTTCCATTTATAACAGAAATTTAATGAAATACAAATTTGCTGGAGGTTCCTGTTATTAAGGGATGCTTCATTAAAAAAGCAGTAAAGCCATTAGCACTATAGGGAGGCAAAACACCACATAAATGTTAAGTGTTAGCTCTTGTTAGACAGTACATGCAGCTGTTTGAAAAAGTCTGTTGCACAACCAAGAAGTGTCCTCAAGCCTCTCTATATCAGTAGAGAAAACCAAGTAGAGCTGAAAAGCTGATCCTTTCACTACAACACAAGGTCAACTGTCTTGACTGTGTTTGCCCCAAAATCAGATCCACTTATTTTGACCTCATTCTCAGGTAACAAAGCAGCTACAAGGTGTCATTTAGCTCACATTTATGCTCTGTCCAGATGGACTGTCAAAATTTCTCACTTAAGCAAAAATAATCATTTAACTCTGACGAGTGGGATCTAGCAACTGTGGTCAATACTCTGACACTGATTTGTAAGTAGAACAATATGTTTCAATCAATGGGGAGCTCTGGTTATAAACAACTGACAAAATTATTTGCAATCTTTTGGACAAGTAGGATGTTGATTAGAAAGAAACATTTTCAAATCAGTCAACCTGAACAATTTTTACACAAGGATCTTCAAGGAATGGGCTGAAGTTTTTCATCCTGCTAATACAATAAATTCTGGAATAGTAGGGAAATTCTAGTAAATGGGTTAAACACAAATATCGTGTCAAAATTCAAGAAGGAAAAAAAAATAGATGATGCATGTAACTTTAAACAGCTCTAAATAAATTAACAAAAGGCTACTGAAGATTCAGTAGCTAAAAAGTGGTTGTATGGAACATAAGCCTAGTCAATAGTCCTTACAGCATTTTTAAAGAAGATTGCTGCTTTGGTTGATAAAAATATCTGCAGACATAAAATGGGCCTATGTACTTAACAAATTATTGTCTTTCCATAATACTAAGTGACACCCTGTTTAGCCAATTAGAGCTCTAGAACGATATCAAGGTACATATCAAACAGATTAAGACATGCTAATTAACAAATCTCAAAAAGGTACTTTTGAGACAATTTAACAGGAAAGTTTAACAGCATAGCAGTGTTTCCAGAGAAACTCTCCTGGGATCAATGCTATCCAACACTCTGAATACTGCAAATCTGTCAGTCTTTAAACCTAGTAGAAAAACTCAGCTTTCAGTACATACTTTAAGAAGATTTCTAAGTGTATGATTGCCTTATAAAGTGCTTCACTCCTTGGATGTTGATGTAACTAAATCTACACCCACTTTTTGTCTACAAGTTGCAGGGACTTTACATATCTCTGAAACTGAAACAAAACTTAGTTGCTTTTTAAACTTGCATCAAGAAGACAATGTTTGTGTCAACTGATGTTCCATTTTCTAGTAAATTGTCCAGCCATTTCCTTGGTTTTCTACAACACCCTGGACTGGTGTAAGGAACAAGTGCTGGGTTCCTACCAAAGGCCTCTTTAGTTTCCTGGATGAAAAAGCAGGATGTGGTTTAAGAACCTGCATTCTTGTGCTTAAGAAAATGTTTTTCTGTAGTCATTCATTATGGAGTCATTTGGCACAAATTACCTGTGTTATCAGCTCTCCGTATAGTTCCTACACTCTCAAATGACTAACAAAATAAAATAGAAGCTGTAAGTTTTGATTCATACAATCTGTGAAGCTTGAACTGAGGAAATATTTTTTTCCTGAGTGTAAAACCAAGTATTTTTTATTGCAGCATTAAACAAAAATACTTGCACTGTCAGGGTCTTGGCGGTTATGACAGTGATGCACATCATGGATGCTAATGGGCACCATAACTGGCAGCACCTCATCTGTCACACTGCCTCGTCTCTTGTAGCTATAAGTGCTGGAAACTATCATAACACTCAGCGAATGCCTGTGATTTACTGCCTATACCTAAATAACCAAACATGCGAAATACATAATTTCACTTACTGATCTGGATATATAGATATATATATTTTAAAAGTACATATATATCCAGACATGTATATTTTCTGGTATGACCTTTTTCACTTGCTACTTTTAAAAAAGTTTCCCAGGCAATGCTGGGGGAAAAAAAAAAAAAAAAAGCAGAGAAAAACAAGATTTAAAGGGCATGAACCGAGGACAGTTTGTGTGAAACATTCTTAAAGCTCTAGTGCAATGTTTTTTAAGGGAAGAGCGAAATAACATTTAGTGCTGTTTTGATTGTTTTTTTGGAGAGGACTGGTCATTTTGCATATGGCAGAATGTTTAAAATATTATGGTAGCATAATCTTTACAAAACTACATGTCTCTGAAAGAGATGATTGTTTTACATGGCTGCTGTAAATCCAGTGTCTCTTCACAGAGCAGTATATGGAATAAGTTATTTGTATAGATGTATACTCTAGTTTCATTCACTTTTTTAGCCCACAGACTTTACCAGGAGGCATTGCTAATCTGCATATGCTGTGCCAAGACTTCAGTCTGCCAGGTATGGGTCACACAAATCCAATAGGGAATTTTATGGGACCTACGGAGCAGTGCAAACTCCTGCTGTGCTGTTGGTTAATTTTCAGCTCCCCATGCAGGTGCTCCTGCAAGCCACACAGATGGCTTGCATCAGGAGTCAGTTTTGTCTGTGCTATAGAAATAGGTTTTATATCAGGTCTCGGACTCGGGCGTATGCACGGCACTGTGCAGGCCACTTCAAAGCGATATGCAGCTGGCGTTTGCCCCGCTGCTGGTATCCACCACCTCTCTCCTGTTGTTCGTGCCTCCTTCCACTCCCGTTGCCAGTGGCAGTATCTGAAAAAAAAGTGTTTGAACCTGCTAGATATGCAGATTCTTTATACACAGATCTTTGGCTATTCAAAACCCATGGTTTGAGTATTCCAGAAATTCCTTATTTATTGAACCTTCTGTTTTTAATACATTTTAAAGTTATCTGAGCCACCTATATCTGCAGCTATGAGCCAGAATATCTTCTCTGCATATTTAAGTTAAAGATAGGCAAACATTACTGTGTGAGCAGCAGGCATGAAAATATCTAATTTGATAAGTATATATGCAGTGTTCTCCATGATGTTACAATTTTGGAAGAAGGAGAGTATTTAAGAATACTTGAATATTCAATATGTATACAAATTGAATTTCTTCCAGAGTAAAAGTGCTGTGATTATTCTGCAGTAACTGCGTGTGAGGATACTCATACTCTGCCTATGCAGAGTTATTCTGATCCATTTCCTCACTGACAATTCCTAACTTAACTTCTCACCAGCTAAAGAAAATGAAGTTACCATAAAAATTCTTCTATTAAACCTTCTTTTGTAGTGAGAACAGTTTAATGTTAGCAAGGATTTTTATGTTTGATGTAAAAAGGAGAGCACTTCCAGGAGGAGTTTCCAGGAACCATTGATCAATGCCTCTGCTGAAATTGCTGATGAAAGATGATAATGCACAAGGCTCCTTCCTTTGAAACTACTCTGAGGCACCATCACTGCGCTGTTGTCATTTGTCCTGAGTCCAGTTGCTGTCACCAAGTTCTGCTTTGTGATACCACCTCTGCTCAGGGCTCCAAGCAGTAATTAATGGGACTTTCTTCTGTGCCTATGATGGAGCTTGGTCTCACGGTCCCAGACAGCAAATCTGGAGCGAAACGGGGCAGACAAGGCTCCTTCCTCATCATCTATGCTCTTGGTGAGCCTCTTCAGCATTACACACCTCATCATCTTTAGGTAACGGGTACAGTACTTACACCCAGTGGTATCTGAAGACAGCCAGGCTGCAACATTCATAGCCTGTGTGGGCGGTAGAGAAAAATCATAACGTTTGCTTGTGAACGCGGCACGCAGCAACACATTCCAGTATAAACCAGAGTCCCCTCCAGGCACGCACACGGCAATACCAGAACGATTTACAGGATGAGACCCCTGAGGCGAACCAAATCGCTTTACTCCTCCTTGACGCCATGCTCCAGCGCGGCCTTCCCCACCGGAGCGAACACCCTCCCCGCCGAGGGCCTCTGGGCTTCCCCCAGCTCCTCCGGCACCCCGAGGGCCGCAGTTGGAGCCGCGGCCTGTCCCGCTCGTCCCCGCCGCAGAGAAGCGAATCTTCCCGGGCTGCCGGCGGCCAATCCGCGGCGCAGTCCGGCCCGCTGCCGCCGGGCATGCCGGGAGTGGTAGTTTTTTTCTCCGGCCTGGCCCGCCCTCCGTCCCCACGGCTCGGTGCGCGGCCGGACTACAACACCCAGGAGGCAGGCGGAGACACCCCCCCCAACCACTGCCCGAGCCTACGATCCCCAGCGCGCGCCGCGGCGCGGCGGCGGGGACCGGGAAGGAGAAGCCGGGCCGAGAGGGAGCGGGCCGCCGGGGCGCGGCTGCGCAGAGCGCGGCTTCCTGAGTGTCTGGTGGCGGCGGCCATTTTGTGGTGCTTCTTCCCCTCTCCTGGTTCGGGCTGCGGCGTCCGGGACCTGGCGAGGGGGCGAGACGGAGCGGGGGGAGCCGGGGCCCTCACCCTCACCTTCCCTTCGCCTCGCTGCGCGGCGGAGCCCCCCCCTCCGGCGCGGCCCCCGGGTGCGGCTGAGAGCGGCGCTCGCCCACCATTATGGAAGACGACGGGCAGCCCAGGACCCTGTGAGTGGGGAGGGAGACCGCGGGGCCAGGGGGGCCCCGGGGGTGGGGAGTGAGCCCCGACGGGCCCGGGGCGGGGAGGGGCGGGCTTGCGGCGGGGCGAGGCGGGGAAGCGGCGGCGGGGCCGGGGGGGATGCGCTCCCGGAGGCGTGCGTGGCCGGGCCGCGGTGGGGGCGGGGAGGCGCGGGGGAGCAGGAGGGTTCGGGGGGTCCCGGGGGAGCGGAGGGAGGCGGCGGGAGCGGAGCGGAGGGTGGTGAAGGAGAGAGCGTGTGAGGGAGGGATGGGGAGCGGGGTGCGGGGCTGGCGGTGGGGAGGGGGGGGGGGGAGTGCGTGTCGGCCGAGGAGCCCGGGCGGCGCGGGAGAAGCGCAGACTCGGCGCTGCACCGATTCGGGGCGAAAACGGGGGAAACCGGAGCCGCCGCTGTGGCGGAGGTGGGGGGACTCGGGGTTTCTCTCGGTCCGTGAGCAGCGCCGGGGGTTTGGGGGGGAGCCCCGCTGCCCGGCCTGCGGGCACAAGCCTCTCCCGGGGAGGGGCGGGTCGGGTCGGGTCGCCCGGCCGCGGGTCCCTTTCCCGGCGTTAGGGAAGTTCTTTGTGTTCTCCCTGCGGTGGGTGGGATGGGGGCCGCCGCAAAACGAGACTCTCTGGAGCGGGCAGAGAGGAAAAATTGTTTTTCCCTCCAGTATTTCACAGTGTGGTTCAATAGCGGTCTCTTGGGCCCTGGCAAAAGAAATAGCTGCATGTCGGCCGTGTCTCTCTAAGGCAGTGTTTAATCAGTTGATGGCTGTCACCTGTTTTCTGTTTAAAAACATAAATTTGAGTTTTTTTGGTTGCTGTTGAGTTCTTTTCAACTCTGCAGGTACGGTTTTGATGGGTTTTCTTTGTCCTGTTGAGTTATGGGGGGAGGGTGTGGGGGGGCTAGGATGTACGTTCAGGCACTTGGGGGCACATCATTCTATTGTTGATTATTATAACTAGTTCATAGGTTTTCAGTTTCCAGTTGCCAGAGGATGTGACGTGCTGTATGAACAGTTCAGCATTCTGGCTGTCCACATAAGAAAGGCAGGCTCAACAGTACAGCGTTCAGGGCGCCCATGTGAGAAACACAGCACAAGACAGTGCAAATGAAATCTTTGTTTATTTAGTTTTTGGGACAGTAGCCGTCAGAAAGGCTTTCAAAGATAATTTGGGTTGAAGGCCACTTTAAAGAAACTACTGAAACAGAGTAAAATATCTCTGAATTTTGTTTCCACTACCAAAATGATGACTTGGCATTTAAGGCTTTTCAAGGCAATTTGTGTTTTTTCTCCTTTCTGTGTCTGCAAAAGTTCTTTTAATCTTGTTTATGGTGTAGTATAAGTACTTAATCAGTCCTTGCTCCTTGAGATGCATAGTTTAAATAAGCATATCTTAAATGCTTTTTGTGTTGACTCCCCAAATGGTCCAAGTTTACTTGGCCCTGATAGTGGACATAGTTTTTAGAGTGTTGCTTTAGAATGAGAGGAGGGAAAAGGGCAAAGTCACACAGCATTTTACTCAGTTCTGTTTTCAGGGTTCTCTTTCTGATTGACTCCTTTTTTTTTTTTCTTAAATAAGTGCTGTGTTTAGACTAAGGTTTAAAATGTTTCTTTGTTTTACTGCTAACAAGTTTGGGTACTACAGTAGGAGTGGGATCTTCTTACTAATGCATCCATCAATGATCTGACCTAGCCCATAGTTACTGACAAAGAAAAAAAGACATTTGTACTAAGATGTCTGAAATAGCATCTCTGTAGCTGGTCAAGATGTTTTATTGCACACATGTGACTGTTTAATTTGTCAAACTAATAAATGACATACACATTCATTTCCTAATAGTTTTGTAGTAACCATAGTCACGTAGGGTTACTGTCCTGTAATTATTTGAGGGCTTTTCTTGTAGAAAACAAAAATTCTGCTGTAGCATTTCTTACATCTCCTTTTTGTCACCACTTTTATCTCAAATGTCTATAAATTCAGAATTGCAAGTTGTGTTTTAAAGATTGTTACCCTGAGTAATACTTTTCATGTATAGCAGTTATGATCTCTCATATAAATAAAACTTACTGACCCCCAAGAACAACTAATAATATTGTAAGTTGAACTACTCTGGGGTTTTTTGTTTTTATGGTGGGGAAGTAAATGAAGAACAAATTGTTTCTGTAGCTATTTGACCACGTGGATAAGCACTTAGTTGATAGTTTATGTGATACTTTATGAATGTCTTTGGTATTTCATTTATTCCTTCAGGAAAGAAAAACTAAACCTGAAGGTTAGGAAGGAGTTTTCATTTTTAACACTTGTAAGCAATTTTTTTTAATTACAAAACCCCAAACACCTAACCACTGTTCATCTAACATTTATGCCCATTTTAAGGATCTCAGAAATAATAGTTTCCATTTGCAGCACTTAAAGGGCTGTTATGTTGTTTTCAGTCATGATAGATCAGTCATGAACCTCTAAGAATTCAAAATATTTTCTGAGGCTTAATATAGAAAATAGACACCATTTGCATTTTTATTTCTCACATTTCATAACTAGTAGGCTGCTAAATAAATGAGAAGAATAACATTCAATATTTTCTGCCAAAAGGTTTTCCTTACTGCTCTAAGCAATTTTAAGATAACTGTAGAAAGGGGGGTCTTTTTGTAGGATTTGTTACACCTCTCAATCCAAATGTGATACAGAAAATGCACAACATGTAATTTTTTAGCTGGTCCTAAAATGAGCTCTGGACTTCTGTTTGGGTGTGGAGTTTTTTTAATAGAACACTTGAAAACTCTGTTTTCTGAATACTGTCAGATCTCCTTTCATCACAAGCTGTATCAAAGTCCTGTTTCTACTTTAAAGTGGACACAAAACTATCATAAATCTAATGTCTTGCTAATATTCTCAACTGTCTTTGAAAACCAGAAGAAAAGTGCCAAATTTGTATGTTGTTCTTGTTAATAATTTTAGAAAAACTTCATGAACAGTCACTGACTACCTACAAGTTGCTATATCATTAGCTTTGCCATGTTATATTCCTAGTGTCATGGAATTTGGATAGGGCACGTAAGTAAGACATCAGTTGTGAACCAGGAGCTAGAATCACTTATACTTTCTTTCAGTTCAGCTCTCTTGTAGAGGAATATTGTCTGCTAGTGGAGACTACAGAGTGGACTTTTATTGGTATCATTTTATTTCCAGTGGCTCATTAGCACTAGGCAGAGATGCTGCTAGAATTTCTATGGGCTTTCCACCACATCAGTTACCTTACTGCTTATCATACTTTCTTCATTTAAATATGGAATCTGCCATCTCTTGTTTGTTGTCAGTGTGAGTGTGAAAACATTTACTTTCTTCCAACCAGTATGTAGGGGAGGTTGTGGACCTGAAAGTAGTGGCTGCAAATGTCCCTTTCTTCCCTACCTGTTTAGGATACAATAAAAACCTGTTTACTGTCACAAAGAGGATTTTTCTGTTCAAGCCAAAGAGTTTAATTCTAAAACTCATTACTTGCTGATATGTGTTTCTTTTATTCTTTAGATAGTTCTACAAGATTGCTGAATTTCAAATACAGTTTGTTATTCTTTGTGTTGTCAGCAGTATTCAGAAGTGTAATATATTGAAATTTATATCAGGAGATATATAGTTATAAATATGGTTTGGGGTTTTATTTTGTATGTGCTTATTAATTGGTATTTAAGTGCTTCAAACTTGCAGAAGGGAACACACACTATTGCCTGTATGCAAAAAGCCACAACTTTTGCTGCCCTGTCACATTAACCAAGACAACAGCCTATAAAAGTATAGTAAGTGCTTCTTCTCTGTTGGGTTTTATAATTTTTAAAAAGTTTGCATAACATATCCTCTACAATGTAGCAAAAAGATTGAAATATCATGCAATAGCATGTTAAAAGCCATATGTTTCTTTAGGTGTGGTTCTGTTTATTTTGGTTTCATCAAGTAGAATAGAAAATACTATGTTATGTTATATTGTGTACAAATTGAGCTAGAAAGGGGAAAACTGGGTGTACCAATAGGCTGGCCATGTGTGGTGAGTGATTAGCATCAGCTGAGGAGAGTTTTGTGTTTCCAGAAAGGTAAGGTTTCTGTTCCTAATGTGTTGAATATATTTCTTAGTTATATAGTATTCAAACTCCGTACACTGCAGATGTTTCCTTGTATGTTTTTTTTTTTTTTAAAGTTGTCTTTAACTGTGCTGAAGAAGGTAATGTTATGGCAACCAACTTTACTTAAAGACATAAAAGTAACCATCAAGTCATATTTTTTTAGTGTATTGTTTCAAACTTAGAGGTTTGTATTCCCGTATTTTCCATGCAGTTCAAGAGGTTTGCTTCTCTGTGGATGTTGCCCTTGTTACATGAACCTTTTATTGTGAAGTATACTCAGTGTGTGTATTACTCAAGTTTCAGAGTGTTAGCAACTTGTGAAAGGTATTAATGCCTTCTGACTATGGTAATATTAAAAATCAAGGCCGTATTTATCATGTACATTTAGTGAGTTAATGGACCATTAGGAATTTACATCCCCTTTGAATCTAGCAATCAGGTGGTCCAGAATTACACTGCTGATTTTTATGGAGAGACAACCTCTTTCATAGCTAAAGTTTATGATGCAACATTCTCACAACTACCTTGATGAAGACACAGTGGATTTGGAAAACCAGCTAGTATCTCTTCTAGCAGTGTCATTACTCTTACCTTAATTGCAACAGTTTTCCAAGGAATGGCTTTTCCTCCTTTTTTTTTTTTTTTTGTCAGACTGAGAGGAATTCTTCCGGTTGCTTTTCAGAGTTCTTACCCTTCCAAAATACATATTAATATTATGCAGAAGAGGTTGAGATTTTGTTTTTCTATGCTGTTAATTGTACTCCTTAGTGTATCTGATTTTGCAGTAGAAACAATGCAAATAGGACTTCACTGTATTTAATTTCATGTCAGTGCTACCATACTTTATATCTCTGCTGTTAAGGCATGGTGTTAACTAGTACTGTTCTACAATGTACAAAGGAAACAAGTACTAGTGATTAAGTTCACAGCAGTACTGACACTTTATGTGGGAATTCCTACTTGTAATTACGTTCTCCATCTGATTTTAGTAGTAGTCTGCAAAGGTTAGTATTTCCATTTAAAACTGTTAGTGATCTACAATTTAATCTTGGTGAATTATTAACAAAAATTTAGTTAAGGTTTCAGAAAGAAGGTATGGATAAATGTTTAACTGCTAAGTTTTCAAAACACAGAATTGAAAAGTCAATGAGAGAGGCAATTTGTCCTGTAGCAGGTCTTACAGAATTCTAGTTTTTAACTTCTTTACTTAAATGCTTCATAACAATACAGGCTGCAAATGTATTTTCTGTTAATGACTTTTGTTAATTCATACATATTTAGTAAGAAAGTAAAGACTACATGAAAGCTTTTAATGAATGTTTCTATATTGAGGTGATGTGATGTATAAGAAACTCACTCTGGATCTTGTGTAGCATTTAAGTCCTGACAAAGTGCAGAACTGCTTCGTGGTTGTTGACAGAGTAACAACATAAGCAAAAAAATCTGTTGATACCCTTATGTGGTTGTCAGATGAAAACAAATTGTGTCCATTTTAATTTTGCTGTAGCTAGATGGAAGTCCAGTTGTCAAACACAAATTGCTTTTCAAAAATTCTAAAGTGTTGTCCATTAAGCAAAAGTGTGCACTTAAATTGCTGTACTCAAAAGAATTTGGCTTATCCATAGACTAAGAAATGCTGGTTCACATTTATGTTCACTGTAGTGTATTAACAGCTCAGGCTGACTTTAGTTTGTTTAGTTCGTATTATGACATTCTATAATAGATCAGAGTAAAAATGAATAAAATGTATATTGTTTCAACAGCTAAATCACAAAAGTTCTGCTCATGTTATTGGTTGCATTTGAATACTTTGTCTTGACAGGCTTACTTGTAAAGATAATGAATGTCCCTGTGCTGCTGACTTTTGAGTTCTGTTGCTGTGACAGGCCTTTCTCTTAACTGATCACTTTGTTTACAATTTGATTACAAATTAGTCACTTTGCTTTTTTTTCTTTTTTTTAAGAATTCAGTTTTGTATTTGTGACTTTCTCAACCACCTCTGTGACCTGGTTTTACTTTTTGTGAGTGTAAAATGTAGCAGAGTATCTAGAAGTAGTTCTAAAACTCTGCTATTGGATTTCTGGCTATCTAGGTAAATCTAGGACTCCATACAAACTTGATAGGTATTTCAAAACTTGGAATTATTTCTAAGGTTTTATAAATAAACAAATCAGGAAGTATGAGTGATATTAAAATAACACTGCCAGAATTTTGGGGAGTTTTACAGAGGTGGTAGCTGTTGATATAGATGCTGTGCAAAGCACTCCTATGGCATAATGCTGCATAAATTGCCTTGCCTATTGGTGAGTGGGCAGATTTTCCAAATGTTCAGGAAAACAGAAAAATTGAGTTGGTATCTTGCAAGGCTGCACAATTTATGTCTGATTGCTGCTAATGAACTAATAGGAGTTCAGTGTGGGTTCATACCGAAATTCGGAAGTGGTCGTGATTAGATGCTCAGTGGGAAGTGAAACTTAAAACATCTTTGGCCAGTTGGTTGCTGCTTCTACCGAAGATTCTCAAGCAATACTCTTCCAAGTTTTGACATTTTTCTGCCAAAGAAATGATAGGCACTAGATATCAGTGTCCAGTATTATGTCTGAATTGAGCTTCGTGTTCTCAGTTGTGTGGCTAACTTTATAATTTAGAAACCAAATGAATGCTGCATTAAAACTATACCATGAAATAATTTGTAAACACTGTCTTTAAGATACATGGGATATTTAAAGGGAGATTTTTCATAGTCATTTAAGTTTTTAAATTACATTTGAAAATATGAAGATTTCTGGTTTACAATGTTGGTTTTTTGTTTCCTTGTGTAGCTATGTAGGAAACCTCTCCAGAGATGTGACTGAAGTTCTTATACTTCAGTTATTCAGCCAGATTGGACCATGCAAAAGCTGTAAAATGATAACAGAGGTAAGGCCTTCCACATCCAGGGGGGTAGCAGAAATAATATAATATAGGATAAAGTTGTGCAAAGTAAATGGATTGGGGGCTTCTTTTGACACTACTGGTAGTGGGGTTTTTTAGGTTGATTGTGTTTGGCTTTGGGGATAACCTTTTGCCAAAGAGACCTGTTGTTGTGTACGGTCCTGCACTTTTGCCTGTAGCCCCACAATACCTTTTCTCAGCTGATGGTGAGATTCCGCTTTCATATAAAAGACTGTTACTCCCTCTTTTCAAAACCACATTGTTCTGATGCTCAGAAACCTTATTATTTCAAGTGTTATTCATGGCTATTTTGTACATTTTTCACTTTATCTGATCATGAGCCTCAGTAATTCTTCTCCTTCTCGAGTAAATGCTTCTTTACTATGGATAAAAAGTAAAAAATCCTTCAAAATAAATTTTGCTCTTCCTGAGCCTCTTCTGTGCCAGTGTGAATTGCACTGGTCTGTTCTTAAATTATTTTTTTTTCTTGAAACAAAGTGACAGAACTTCCATAGTATTCCAAATAAGGTCTTTTGTACAAAATGTTGGTAAGTATTAATACTTTATTCTCTCATCTGTAAATATTTAAACTCTGATATCTCTAGGGTTGGTAGCCATTTCTGTGATCTCACTGACACATCCTAGGTGACTTCCACTCCCTAATATTTTTCCTTCCTTCTGCATTTATAATTGAGAAACTTTGAGCAGGCAGGCACTAATCAGAACTTTTTCTAGGTTTCGTCTTTGATTCTTCAATTGTGGTTTTCTGTATGCTCTTCCTACTTTTTACTACTTGTAATTACATATTTCCTGAGTACAGTCACGTTAGTTTTTTGGACAAAATTGTTAATGAAAGTATTAAAAGACAAACCTTGCAACTAGACTTCTTTAGGAACACTACTAGTAACTCCTCTGTGGTATTCTTTTCCTTTCAGTGTGACACACGGTGCTTTTGGTTTTGTAGCTGCTTATCACTCACCTGATGCTTGTTTAATCACTCTCATCTTTGTCTTAACTAATAATTTCGTATTTTGCACTTTATTAAATCTTGTTAGTGAAGATAAGAGCTCCGCCACATTTTCTATAAGTTTAACAGAGAAAGATACTAAACAGAAGGATAACAGGGCACAGTTAGTTTTTCTCTGAAGAAACAGTTTTGATTGTTATATACTCTTCAGAAATAAGGTACTGCAGCTCCAACCTTTGGCTGATCAAGAGATGTTAGCATCAGTTTGATTTCTTGAGAACCAGGTGAGAAATTCCAACACACATTTTACCTTGATTTAGGTTTTGTGGTTTTAAGATCTTATATAACCATAGAAATAACAAGTGAGGCATCTTTATGAAATAAGTAGATAAAGAAGCTACTTGCAGCTGTATTCAGTCAGGCGGAGGTGGGCGCGCTGGGCTGGCCTGGGCACCTATCGCCGAGCAGTCAGCAGGGGCAGGTTGGATTCTAGGTGGGAGCTGGCCTGCAGCTACAGCACTTCTGACTGTCAGAATACCTGTCCATACTGCCCATCCTTCTCATCAGTGTGGTGTAAACTTTCCATAGGCACTGAGTTACACTGGAGTGGTTACTGCCATCATCGGTCAAGTCTATACCTGAATGTTTTAAAAACTTTTGTGATTTTCCACCCGCCTCCCTTTAGCCAAGTGTATCAGCTGTTTGCTCACTCTCTTTTTCATTTGTAGAATATGTGACATGATCATGTCAAGTGTTTAGAGATTTCAAGTGTTTATTTTGGAGCTATATAATACTGAGGGGGTGGTATAACTAGCATTTACAGGTATCTTGAACACCTAAAGATCTGTGCATCTGCAAAAGAGGCTCTTCTCATGTTTAGACAAGTTCTTAGTGCTAAAGGAGAATACCCCACAATCTAAAAGTAAAATTTTACTTTGTTTAAAGCATAAACTGCACTACATCTGCTGAGTTCTTAAATGAGTTTCCCAAATCTTGTTTTCATTGCAGTGGGAAGGTGGTATGGGAAGAGGGGTGATTTAAGGCTTACTCTTCTGGGGTGAATGTGCTTTTAAAGCACTTCATGGCTGTTGTGACTTAAACTCTTCTTTAATGATCTCAGCTGTGTTTTCTCTCATCTGTTCATTTTGCTTCAGTTAGAGACACCTAGTACTGACAGTGTTTAGAGGGATCACTTCAGACTACTTGACCGTTTTAGGTATATAAAGGCCTTGTGATCAGTTCAGCTATTAGATCTTAATAGCTTCCCTTGTTCAGAGGTAGACAAAATTGTGTTTGAAGATGTACGTACGATCTAGTTTTATGGGACAGAATTAGGATTTCTTTGTCGATATAAGCATGTGTGAAATTTCAGAAGTTAAATAGTAAAACTGGTAACGACCTACTTACAGCTTATGTCAGAGGTATGCTCTACCTGACACTGGGGGAGGTTGATACACAAGAATACTGATGCCAAAGCAGTTTTTTTACATGTTAGATCCTTCCCTGTCCATGCAAGAAATAATTTGTTTAGCTTAATATTATTGTTTATCCTCTTTTGGTACATGTACATGCAGAGTTGTTAGTGTAGATATTTCAGTGTAAGGCTATGGTTTTTGTACTCATTACATCTTCTAGGCAGATTAAATCCAGTGTTAAAGTTAGCATTCTAATCATCATTTCCACTTGATCAACTTTTGTGAAAACTTTTCTGTTCTTTGCATTTAATACTCTGGCACATCTAATACTTGAGAGCTTTGTTTGTCCATTAGTATTTCTGAAGGTGATTTAATAGGCCATCCTACAAAAACAGTTTATACCCAAGATGTAACAGAATAGCAATCAATTGATGAATATCTTTTTCCCTCAGTGAAGCTATTTCATGTCCTTTTAAAGGGATATCTTCCAGTCGCTGCATATAACATTTTTCACTTGAGATTGAGAATATGCAACTTCTAGGTTGCTGTCTGCTAGTGGTTTTCAGGAAGATAAAAGGAAAGACTTCTGAAGTAGGAGGAGAGAGAAAATTGGCAAAAATGTATCTGGGGAACAAACCTTTTAAGCTTTGAGTATATATATGAGGCAGAAGACCATTTTTGTTCTTCTCTCTATTCTTCCCCTTTTCTCCTCCCTTCCATCCAGTCTGCAGATCACTTTTCTGGTAATTGAATTATTTTCAGTTTAGCAAACCTAATGTACTGAGCCCTCATGCAAAGTAAACGATACATCAGAAATTTCTAGACCTTTAATAAAAAGTCCATCTTAATATTTCTTGCATTTAAGTGTAATGTCAAAGGCTATTTCATAAATCTAATGCAAATCATTCTTAAAGTTTCTAGCTATAAGTAATATATTTTCCTGGATTTTCTTCTCAGCAACCCGATAGCAGAAGGGTCAACTCTTCTGTTGGATTTTCTGTTTTGCAGCATACAAGCAATGACCCTTATTGCTTTGTGGAATTTTATGAACACAGAGATGCAGCTGCTGCATTAGCTGCTATGAATGGGAGAAAAATTTTGGGAAAGGTAAGTTACTTACATTGTAACCTTAGATTTAAGGAATATAGGTTTGTGTAAAAATATTAATAAAACTGTGGGGCATTCATTTTGTTGAAGATGCTTACTGATCTTAAATATTGCTAGAATAATATTTTTTTAAATACTGATTTTTAAAAAGTCGTGTAGGAAACACTGTTGGTGTTGTTCTAATTATGACATTTTATACTGAGTGCTGATTTGTAAACATTGACAGTTGTAACCCACCCTTGAATGAACTTATAAAATGTAAGAATTTTGTGAATTTATACTAAATCTTATACTTATTTTCAGGAGGTCAAAGTAAACTGGGCAACAACACCAAGTAGCCAGAAAAAAGATACATCCAGTAAGTAAAGTAATGCCACAGTATCACTTCTACACAAATACTTCACAACGTGGTGATAATTTGTCATAAATACATTTAAACGTAACTTTTCTCCTTCCCATCTTGTGTTTAATAGAATTTTGCAAACTAATTCTTCTGTTTCTGCTTTACAACTGGGGAAACTGGAGTGGACAGATTAAATTGCTGCTGCTCATCAAATGGAATCCTGGGCGTTCCTGGTTCCCAGTGCTGTGTGCAGAGCATCACTTTCTCAGGAGTTGAAATTTTAGATAGCAGTTAAATATTTGATTAGTAAATTATTTATTTTCAGATCACTTCCATGTGTTCGTTGGGGATTTAAGTCCAGAAATAACAACAGAAGACATCAAGTCAGCATTTGCTCCTTTTGGTAAAATATCGTAAGTATCATAATAAACATTTCCAATATCAGTTAGAAAATATGAGAGTGAAAATTTGTTTCTGATTTGAAATGTTATTTCTTATCTTTTTATATTATGCTTCTGATGTAATTTCCTCATGTTGGGTGGGCAGTAAAGAGGGGTTATTGTTTCATCTCACTATCTATCATGATTGTAAATACAGTAATGTAGTTGTGCTCTGGTTTTGCTGAAAGCAATGTACTTTTGACCTAATTTATATGCTAATGTCCTTTACCTTTTTATTAAAATTTAATTACTGTTCCTAAGTGTGACTTTTTGTTGTTTAGAATGTGTACAGAATACTAACTTGACAGCTGATATATGTTGCATCCTTAGTGTATTTTGTATACATTCATACTGCATTTCATAGGCAGTGTAGAAAACTGGGCAATTGGAATATAATTTTATGAAGCAGCTAGTTGAATAACTTGCAAACGTTTTGAGAAAAAGCTAATATTTATGAGAATGATATCTACTTTTTTGGATGATAACAGGGGATGAATTAAGATTATAGTATTTAAATGAAAGAATGGTGAATTTACAATATGTGCACATTTCTGCCAGTTAAGAGAATGTTTCTTTAAACTTCTCATAGATAATTCAGGTGATAATAAATCACCTGGTGTTTTAATTGAACATATTTAACATTAGCACTCAAGGATTCTTGTAAAGTATGTGTGTCCTTAAGAGTACTGCTACAAAAAAGACTGTTAATCTTCTATCAGTTTAGCTTTATAAAAATCTTTCAAAGTTGCACATGAATGTTTTTGTACTACTTTACAGGAATATATTTCTAAGAACAAAATTCTTATTTTTCTCTTGTTCTGTACGCATATTTTTAAATGAATCATAAATCTTATTTCTTACCTCTGCTATTTTGTTTACTTTGCTTTTTGTCTCTTAATGTGGTAAGTAGTACTGTTTTAAAAATCAATTTAAAGAGAATAATTCAGGTTTCTGTTTCTCAATCTATATTTATACCTGAGACCTGCAGTTTTTCTAAAGTCCAAGTCACAATTAAAAGTAATAGCATTCTGGTTATTTTGCAGAATTGCTCATAAGAATGGACAGGATCTTGAAGGCTAACTGCAAGGAACTGTGCACACTGGAACTCAGTTGTAGATTTTTTCTCATTTCTATTTATTCTTATTATACATTATTTATATATACATATTTTAGTATTTACATTTTAACATTCTATATTCAGTGCAGTTCTATATTTCCAATCATTTTAACTTACTCACTAAAATTTCTGTGTAAATTTGTTGTTTTCGTACTGGTGTGCTTAGCATTGTTGTTAGTTTTATTCTCCTTTCTTAAATTTCTGAAAATGTCAATTTTTCAAAATTTACAGCTACCCAAACTCCAAAATGATGGTAGAGAATTGACCAAGAAAAATAAAGAAATCTGTTAACAGGCCATGTATGCCTTTTAATTCCTATTTTTTCCTCTTTTTCGATTTTTTTAATATTTCATATATTTTGTATCACTAGGCAGAAGACATTTAACTATATAGAAAATGCATGGTAAATTAGATAGAATTGTTACAGTAATTTATAGAACAGTAAACCTTAGAGGACCCTAGCCAATAGAATATTAGACAAGGAAACTTTGTTTCTCTTATACTTCAAATTTGAACATTCTAGTTTTATCTAGTATAGGTAATGTGGATAGGTTGCATGTTTATTACATGTTATTTTTTTTGTCCTACTGCTTTTTTCTAACAGGTAAAGAAGCAATAGGGAGAGTTCAGGAATGACTGTAGTTTTAGGGCTAACTGAATTTATAAGAAAAAATTATGCTCACAATACAGTGTGTGTGGTTCCTTTTAGTTTTTATTTTGCAGGTTATTAATATTACCCTCATATAGCTGTGCTTCTTTTCACAGGGATGCACGGGTAGTTAAAGATATGGCAACTGGAAAGTCAAAAGGCTATGGTTTTGTATCTTTTTATAACAAACTGGTGAGTAATGACAATGTAGATTTAAAGTAATTGCCTATTTTCCACTTCTAGTTTTGCCTCTTTGTTTATATATTCACTATTTATCAGACTTTCACAGGGGAAATAAATTTGTGTGTATGGGACAAATTTACTTTAGTCAAAAACTTCCGTTATTTATAGCTAAGGGTTGAAACAATTCAGATGGCAGTGATGCTAAGAGAGCATGGTGAAAAAAGACTCGAGAGCATTGTGGAAGAAGATTCCTGAGTGTGGAAAGCTTGTCTGGGTGTGTGTAGGGGTAGTTCAGCTTCGTCTGTGGAACCATCTCTCCTACAGCGAGTTGGGTGCCTGGGCCGATCAGTTGTGCTCTGGGCCTGTGAGCTGAGGCGCTGCGCCGGGTCTGGTGCGGCTCTGTGTCTTAGGCTGGAGCCCCTGCAGAACGTCCTCCTGGAGCCCGCGGAGCCGCGCTACACGGAGGGGCTTGGGGTTCTCCAGGGGTAGATTCATGCCAGAGCTCGGGCTTTTGGAGGACCTAATGCCACCAGGCGTGCTGTACGCTGAAGTATGGCTGGAGTTATTTGCTTGAGCTCTCTGCATCTCAGTAAAGCTCTTGGTTGGTTCTTGGTTGGTCCTTCGCTTGAGTTGTTAGAACGTTTTGAAATCTAAGGTGGTTCTTTGTATCGAGTAGTTAATTTGCAGTGAAGAGTTGTTTCTGTATGTCTAAAGCGTTCTGCTTGTGCATATTGTAAAACTGACAGTTGTTCTTGGTTTTGTGTTGGATGGTGTTACATAATAGCTAATGTCATATACGCTTAGGAAAAAATGCTTCCAACAGGTGATTAGTATCCCTTTCTGTTACAGATATTAAAGACATTATTTGTAGGATTCAATCAGTATAGAACTGATAAAAATAGTGCCGTGCCCTACCATTTATAGCAATACCATTGACTCAACAAATAATTCTTGGTAATTTTGAAGTTAAATGTGTGTTTGACAGTGTAAGTAATTTGTGCAAATTATTTGGAAAATTGAGCTGTGTGTGTTTAGAGGTTTAGGACGTCATGGGGAAACTGTAAACAGTTTTCCTTAAATATTTTGCATAGGAAAAACACACACAATTGCAGATTTTAGGCATGTAAACCTGTTTGTGTGGTCAGAAGTCCTATATGTCAAGACTCTTTTTCTGTCTTCTGTAACAGTTATCTGGAGCTGAATCTTAATAAGAATAAAAAATTGGAATTTCTTTTCTTCAGATTTGAAAATGCCATAAGATACTATAATTGATTGCCTTGATTTAGTGTATTTTTCCACTTACACTTCATTTATTTTGTGTTGCAGCTGAATAGACAAGAGGAATAGATGTCTTATCTCCTTGTACCCCTCTTCCCTTATTGTATGGTTATGTTTGCTTTCTGTGACCATAGGGGAAACATTATAACAGTCTTACAGAATGCAAGTTTCTGGTTTCTTTTAAGACTGAGCCATAAAACCTTCAATTTAAAATGTGTATTCATTCTGCAAAATTAATGAATGAATTCTAAATGTAATACTAAAAAGTACTTCTAAAATTTATGTCCCGATTGCTGTTCATTCAAACAGTGGCTGCACTTACAGGGCTATGGCACGGCCATCCTGAGCTGGTAGTGTAAGGCCTGTTTTTCAGAATTTGTTGTCATCCTGCTAGATTTGGGGAAGTGGGGTATGTTCCCAGACTTCAGGTACTCCAGCCTAAGGTCTTAATGCACACCACAGTTACGAGGAACAGTTATGGTATGGGCTCCATTCCTTTTTTGTCATAGCTACGATCCTCCAGACTGGTAGCAAGATTGATTAGAGCTAGTTTCCCTTTCCTAATCAGTTTGTAACTTAATCATTATGTTTTGGGAGTGAGGGTTCTTGAATAAGTTGCTGTTTGTTTGTTTGTTTGTTTTTTCTGGGTTTTTTTGTTTTTTTTTTTTTTGGTGGTGGTTTGGTTTTTGGTCATCTCTCAATTTTTTTTGTATTTATGTATTGTCTTCAAAATGAGCACTCAGTGTAATTAAAGCGTAGAAGGAGCAAGGTCCTTCATGATTTGAGTTTGAGACAAGTGTGTTACATCTGGAAGCCTTCAGCGTGAGGGAGGACAATACTAGCCCCTCACCTTTGATTTGTCCATATATTCTCTTTGTCCTTGGAAGAGCATTTCAAATATACATACTATTTGCTCTGCCTCTCTTCTTTCAAAGCAATTGAGGAAAAAATTGCTTCTCACAAATGTTAGGAAACTTACCCCTTTTTACTATGTGTTTCTGCTTACAATGTGAACTTAAAGATTGCCTTATAAGTAAAGCCACGTGGGGAATGGACTCGTGTGTGTGTGTGTGTGTGTGTATTCACACAAGGACTTTAATGCTTAGAGAACTTGCTCAGACATACTCTGCATGCCTCCAGAAGTCAGAATGGTGGATGGGACAGGGTGTGGGGGGGATGTCCAAATAATAAATGAAAGGAAACTTGCATGCTCAATCTATTTGTGTATTGGCATTACAGTTTCTTAGTAATCAGCCTTCCCAGAAATTATAATTTTTCTACCTAAACTTGGCCTATTATGTTGAATGCATATTAAGATTCTGAAAAAACAATTTCATATCTTATTACACAATGTGTTTTGCAAACATGTACTGCATGGTATAAACATTACTTCAGCTACATCTGAGAAATTTTTCAGTGAGGGATTTTTATGATCAAAAAGTCTTTCCTGACTTGTCGCCTGTTACTATTAAATATAATTTTGTGTATTGTATTTTTAATACAGTCAGTTGGCAAAATAATATGATTTTTAATATATGTAATTAAAATTGTAGTTGTTTTATTTCAGTAATTGCTTCTGGCATCCATATGACCTTTGTACTTTTTTGGGCAGCCTTCAGATATTCTAATACAGATGCTTGTTGTGTAAAGGTAGTATATGTATGATTGTAGTTGGCTTCTAATCTGTGTGTGATGGAAATGGGGGTGGGAGGAAGGTTCTACCAAATCACTTGAGGGCTTTCTCTGTAACCAGTTTGCTTCATGTTACTTCATTTTTGGCTTCTTGCTGTGGTTGTTCTGAATTTCGTATACTTTTTAGTACTGTTACTAGTTTTGTCAACAGAATTAACTGACAGCCAAGTGTTTCTTTAAAGTAGACTTGTACCTACTCCTTGTTCGGATGTGTTTTAATCTTTCTTCAATCTCTTTAGGATGCAGAAAATGCTATTGTACACATGGGAGGCCAATGGTTGGGAGGCCGTCAGATCAGAACTAACTGGGCAACACGGAAACCACCAGCCCCCAAAAGTACACAAGAAAGTAAGACCTTCATGTAATGATATGTTGTGTTTGCTCTCTTGCACATTGCTGTTCAATGGAGAAATGAAACAACGTTGCCAAAATCACGTCACTTAATTACATATCTAGCTTGACTTCCAGATCTTAAAGAATAGATGTTATTGGTATATTATTTCAGTGTAGTGGTAGCACTACTGGTCTATCGTGAAATACTGAATGTGTTCATTAAATGTAGAATTATACTCGTGTACACGGTAAGTATCTGGGACTCTGTGGTTACTGTTAGCCTACTGGTTAAAAACAGCCTTCTCTCTTTATAGATAACACAAAACAATTGAGATTTGAAGATGTAGTAAATCAGTCAAGTCCAAAAAACTGTACTGTGTACTGTGGAGGAATTGCCTCTGGTCTAACAGGTATGATTTGTTTTATTGCTTTTTTTATTACTGAAGCTTTTTGGAAACAGATGTTTACTAATTCAAAACCATTATGTGTTGTAGATCAACTTATGAGACAGACATTTTCACCATTTGGACAGATTATGGAAATAAGGGTGTTTCCAGAAAAAGGTTACTCATTTGTCAGGTATGAATAGAGAAAAAAGAAAATCTGTGATTTTGTTAATGTGGTAGTGTTTAATCTTTTTGTAATTTCACTTGATTGAACTTCTGATGATGCATTAAAAGCTGTTGCCATATGTTCATAGAAAAAATTGGAACTTTTAAAAGTGGCCACCAATCTTTTTACCTGAGAAGATGAATATTTGTGAAAGCAGATCTTTTTCTCTGGATTTCCTGTATGTATGGAGTCACTGTTTTTTAACAATCAGGTGAAAGTACTATAAAGCATAACAGTAGTTTGTTTTTACATTCTTTAGATTTTCAACCCATGAAAGTGCAGCACATGCTATTGTTTCAGTTAACGGAACCACAATTGAAGGACACGTTGTTAAATGTTATTGGGGTAAAGAATCCCCTGATATGACAAAAAACTTCCAACAGGTAACTGCACTTTAACCTTTTGACTGTATTACAAAAGCAATTATGTATATACCTGTAATGCCTTCCCAGTTATATTAGCTAAATTTTGTGGTAGAGTTCTTACAAAATTCCATGTTCTGTCTCAGTTATGTTCCAGTTGTTCATCAAATTGGGCTAGTGATTTTGGTGGAATATCTGTTACTGTCTTCTGGATATGATTCAAGATAGGGAGAAACTCTGAGGTAATTCTGATTCTTGCTAGTTCACTAACTGCAGACTAGGTGACTATTCAACCAAATAGTCTTTGGTATTTCAACACGCACAAATATGTTTTTTAGTACAAGAATGTAATTAAGTCACAGTGATGTCTTATTTTACTGTACTCATTATTGCTTGTTTTAGCCCTGTGATTGATATAGCCAAAAATTTTGCCTTCGGCAGCACAAAAGAAACATAATCCTTCTCTAGAACCTGAAGTACTGTGAATTATTCTCTCCTTAGGTGGATTACAGTCAGTGGGGGCAATGGAGCCAAGTATATGGAAATCCACAACAGTATGGGCAATATATGGCTAATGGGTGGCAAGTACCATCATATGGAATGTATGGCCAAGCATGGAATCAACAGGGTTTTGGAGTAGAGTAAGTAATTGTATTTAATGCCAAATAATGGGCTGGGTCATTCTGACTTGTACTCAATTGCGTATTTCATGTGCATGGGTGTGTTTTGAGACTCAAGGCACAAAGACTTCTTTTATGGTAGAGTTTTGGATGGTGGTCTTGTTTGATACCTAAAAATTTTCTGAATTCTGACTTGAGGTGGTGAATACTGTGGAGTCTGAGCCAGGGAGCCCAGGTATTTGCCTAAATGGTTCATAACTCTGGAGAGAAGAAGCTACAAACAGATTTTAATTTGGGCAGTTTCAGAATTTGGGTGGGCTTTTAATACTTGATCTCTTGGAAGACTGAAGTCCTCACAACAACTTTTTGTTTTAACATATTTATTTAAAAATAACTTATTTGTTTACGTAATTCTTCGTTATCTTTTGCCAATTAAGCTTATTAAGCCCTCATAAACCTTTCACTGGTAGTCATGCCAATTAGGCGTTGGGAATTGTTTGCGTTTCTGCGTCACTGATGTTGACTTACAGCCACCTGTGTACGTACGTGCCTTTGGAGGCAGTTGTCCTATGCAACCACTACCCAAGGTTTGTGGGGCTTTTTTTTAATTCTTCTTACAAAGCTTATGATACTTTCAAGAATCACATGTTGTAACACTTGACCTGAAGTACTCATTAAAGAGAAGAAGAAATTGTTCTATTTGGGTTTGAATAGTAGTATAGGAAACACATTTTTGTGGTTTTTGGTTTTGTGTTTTGTTTTGTTTTTGTTTTTTTTTTTTTCAGTCTGTTTTGTAAATAACTTGACTAGCTTGCATGATTATTTTTCTTCTTTCCCCCACCCCCCCTTTCCTTTTTTTAATCATTCTGTTTCTTTTTAAGCCAATCTCCATCTGCTGCCTGGATGGGTGGATTTGGTGCTCAACCTGCCCAGGGACAAGGTGCTCCTGTAATACCTAACCAAGCTGGATATGGTATGGCAAGCTACCAAACACAGTGAGCTGGGACTCTGTTTAAAAGTGTGTATTTCATGATAGGCTGCAGTTTCCAGTGACATTCTGAAGACTGGAATGTAGACAATGAAAAAAGAAAATATTTATTTTAAAAATGGAAATGTTTGGAACCTTTAGCACAGCTTTGCTTTGGTGAAGGACACAAATGTCTTCTAGTTCTGCCTTTTTAAGTTTTTGTTCATGATGGATATGAACATGTTTTTCTTTGTGTACAAAAATTAAAAATAAAGTCAATAAAGACAATTCTGACTACAAATTTTGATATAGTAGGAGAAATGGCTAATGAATTTGATCTTTAGCTTACCATTCCATTTTTTTGTTCTGTCTTCAGTGTTTTATATCACTGTGCTTTTTAAGAGAAATGACGTTGAAAAACAGCAAGTTGCTTTTAGTTGAACACACATCCTGAAATAAACTGTGGACCAATCATTACAACCTGCTAGACAGTATTGATTTTTCAAGAAACCTATGGGCGTAGCTCAGAAAGTATATGTAGGTCTTGGAATAATTTTTAAAAAAAATATTTAATTTTTCTACATGCCTAAAGAAAACAGTCTGATACAAAGAATAGTACAGTCTAAAATGAAAAACAGTACTGTCTGAGTAATTTCACATAACTTTTACTGTCCACATTCAGGCACACATTAAAACTTTTCAGAGCTGGTTTGCTTATTAAGACTGTAATAATTTGCATTTAATTTTAAGAAGTAAAAACGTTTTTGCAAGTATGTTGTTTGTATTCAAATCAAACAGTCATACTTGTGCTTTTACATAAAGTTTGAAGGCTACACATTGTAAATATTTCATAATTACAGTGTTTCAAAAGCATGCTCGAACATAGAAGTAGCAATGTAATTATTCAAAGTAATACTTAATATACTCTACTGCTTTAAATGCAGTAGATTGACAAGAATGTGCAAGACTGACATTTCCAAAGTTGGCTATTATGTAAAGTTACATAAAGAACTATAACAAAGAGCCTTAATTTTAATTTCATAAATCTTTAATGCATCACCTTTTTGTCATTAGAAATACGAATTTTTTGCTTTACATTATTTGGTATGTAAATACCTTGGTTAACAACCTTGTAAACCTATTTCAAGGTTATTATAAGTTGTATAGTATCTTGAGTGTTTTGAAAAATCTTGATGTTTTTTAAGTCTAGAAATATTTTGCCCAAGAATTTTTTAACAAGATTGTTAAAAACATCTTATTTTAGAGAATATTCAATGTGCCATTTGGTAAATGGAGATGCAGTTGAAACAGTACACTGAGTTGTGACTTATTTTTAATTAAAGTTTTTGTCTTTATGGATGGTTTGCATGTGATGAACCTGTACAGAGGCTGGGTTGTTTGTGTACTGAGTGTGTAAATGGATAAATCATGAAGATGTTTAAATGGTATACTTGGGTTATTTCTGAATTATTTTATGGATACATTGATATAAACTGCCTCAATAAATTTGAAGTTGAAAATGAATGTAAGTTAGATATAAGTACTGTGTCTTACCTGTGACAGCTAGGGGGTGCAAATGTTTCAGCTGTATACTGAAATACACTGAGGCAGGCACAATTTAAAAAAAAAAAAGAAAGTAGGATTTGCAGTGATAGTTCAGTGAAGCAAACTTGCATTTTAAAAGGAATGGAATGTTTGATTTTAGAGATGATAGTTCTAAACGAGTGTCTGAGAAGCTGCATATTTTATCTTTTCTGTTTCTTACCATGCAGGTGTTGCAAGTTAGAAGAGATTTTGAAATGGAAACTTGCAGTTTTGTTAAACCCAGCCAGGTTGTGCAAATAACTACACTTAATGCTGTAGCAAATCACATGAGGTTTTTTTTCCTCCTCTTCTACTTGACATGCTAAATAGTACCTTGACTTTTAGATCAGGTTGAAAGTGAGAGATACTGGCAGAGCAGTTTAGTCGGTTGGCTCAGCTGTACCCAGAGATACTTGTAACTGGGCATCTAATGCATGCAATAATGACTGAAGTTAGTGTGGAACCGTAAGTGCTTGTGATGACAGAATTGGCCCTTTATCTCTGTTTCTCCTTTATGGTATATGTAGTGACTTCCGCTCAAGTTAGGAATCTTGTCTACAGGACTTTGTTTTTTTTATAAATTTTGTATATATGTGTATATCTACGCGAGGATCGGCCTATACACTGTAGTTTGGGGAAAAAAAAAATATCACAAGTAAGTCTGCATTTTTGTCACACCCAGTTTAAAAAAAAAATCAGTACATATATGAATTGCGGGTTACTTTAGGATTTCTTAGACTTCACTTGAAATCTGGGGTTTCTACATAATTCTAGGTGTTTGACATATGACTTTGTTCTGGATGCATGCTGGTATGTAAGCAGTATGTTCTTTAGGCGCTACTGAAGATTTAGATGATGTGAGTACATTGCCACATAAATGCCCATATAAGTGGGTGTGAGATTAAGGCAGTGATCGTTCAGATCTCAATGTGTAGATCACCTTAAATCTGATTATTTAATATGCCTGCTGTAGAGCTGGGCCATACCTGACCTGTATTTCAGGATGAAAGATAGGATATACTTTCTCTTTTAAGTCTCTTGTCACTGATTTTTATACAGCTTTTCTTTGACAGTGATATTTCTTTGCAGACTGCTCAAGCTATGGGAGACTCCAGTGTCTAATGTTTCTATAGCACTGCGAGGAAGAGTTGTAATTTGGATTGCTTTCCACTCAGTAGCGTTCATAAATGCATCACTGACAATTTTTTGGCACCAAAGAGCCTCTTGCACCATACTGCTTCTATGAGTGACTGTTACACTGTTGTAATTTCTGTAAATACAGAAATCAACCACTACCAAATCCCTTACCACTAGGATTTGGGTTTCAAACAGTATTGATTTATCATGACTTAAGTTGATGCGTGCAACCTGAAGCAAGGTTGTAATCTGCATTTGCAGAAAATGTTCAATAAAAGTGAAACGTGATAAAGGGCTTATCCTGTATTGTCATCTGTCAAAACATTGTCCCTTTTTGCTGTAAAACAGACAACAGGCGTACAAGGCTGAACTTGTAAACTATGCACTTGGAATCATGTAAAAGATGTTTTATTTAAAATTTTTCATACCAAACCATTTTGTATTTTGCAGAGTTGCAGTAGTAAGGCTGTAAATCTAAGGTTACATGTAGCTTTTCATCAGTCCTGCCTCCTTGTGTATATTTGTGAACAGTTTTCAGACATATTCTTCCTGCAGAACTTTCTTCCTTACTAGGGTAACTTCATGAGACAGCTATTCACTGTATTAGAACTATTTCCTTCATTTCACTTGCCAAAAAAGTCTCACAGTGAATAAGGTTTAGTTTTACAGAAAATTAGTGATTTTTCTTGTGTTTGTACACAAGGAAGCAGACTTAAACTGTATGGACATGATTAGTGTCTGATACTTCTTAATTATCTGACTGTTTTTGAACAAGGGCACAAGTCTTTGTTTTCATCACGTGGAACTGTTTCCTGGTCAGCAATAAAAGATTTTGTTGCACTGTTCTTACATTGCAAGATATAGGTAATCTTTTATTCAGTATACTTCCAAAAAATGGATGGGGTTTGTAAAGAACTGCCTTGTTCCAACTTGAATCTGCATATACGGATACAATTTGGGTTCTGGATTGCTGCTGCAGTAGCAAAAGGAAGATGTTCTTTTGAAATGTGAGTGAGAGTTTGTTCTGATCATATGTAGTGCCTATTCAACATTGGTAGATTTAAGGGTTTCACTATGTAATCACGTTTCTGTCCATAAAAAGGCAACTGCAAGGCAACAGCTGCTGGGAGGGTCTTTGTGTTTTGTTTCAGCCAACTTTCGTGAATCTGGTTAATTGTTTTAAAAAAAAAAAGATATTTGTGTTTTTCAGTATCACATGGATAAAATCACACACACATCCCTTTACCATCACTTCAAAGAATGAATGCTGAAATGTTTACTGAATGTTTTACTTCAAGAAGAAACAGGATTTTATGTTGATGAGTGAACACTGATTCTGTCATCTTTGAGGGGATGTATGCTGATCTAGATCATGGATGTGAATAACATGCTCTGCTTGATGACATTTAAAGGGTAATGACTCAAAGTTAACTTGATATCAGTAATGAATATTTGAATACAAGTTTTTCTTGCTTAAATACACAGCCATTCATGCTTTGATTAAAGCTGATCTGAATCTTCTTGGTTATTAAAGTATTCCTGATACGCTGTGGGAAGAAGCATTGCTTTACCTTGTATCTTAGTATTCAAGCTGTCAATAAGACATCAGAGTTGCATAGATGGTATTTTTTTGTTTAAAAGAAAAACACTTGATGAGGTTGTGTCAGGGAATTCACTGTAGGTTGACTTTTTTTGTAGTGATGGGTGATAGCGTTTGAGTATTTCCCTTTGAAAAGAAAGGGTCAGTCTGTTCTTTGACTGAACCCAGCTTCTCACTGATCCCAGACACCTAGCAGCTGCTGCTTGCAGGGAAGGGAGAAGGAGGAAAGGGAAAAATGGTGAAACCAGGTGGTACGTGCCAGGCTAGTGTGCATGATGCGACAGCATCAGTGTCAATTCATATTGTCAAACACATTTAAAATCATGACGGGCCTACACGGATGGTGTGGCAGTATGCAAAGGGTTGTGACCCTTCACACACAAACTTGTTTTATCTCCTTGCTTAGAATAATGTTTTAAAATTATAAAAACAGAAGCCACATAACCTTTGGCCATTTTCTTTTTGGTTCCTGAGAAAATACATGCAAATTAAACAGCCAAGCTAGATTACCTAGGTTGAGTAAACAAATAAAGAAGACTTCAAGGAGAAAATTGTGTTAAGCATCCAAATTAGTATACCTTTGTTTAATTTAGACCTCTTAGTTTGTCCTTCAGTTGTTTGTCTGTATTGACCCTTTTGTTTGTATAATTGAAGTAGTTTGAGATATGCACAGCTGCTTGTTGTGAATGTCTTCTTTAAATGTATAATTTCTGGAGCAGGGGTGCGTAGGAATTGAATAAGAGTCACAAGTCTACCACATGAAACACTGAATAATGCTTACATTTCCTAGATGGAAAGTGACTTTCTAGAGCCAACTTTGTAGAAGTTTAAATATCACAGGTGATGATGGAAAGCTGCTGTCTTCCATTTCAGTTCTTTGACCCTTAATAGAGAATTATTATTGGGGTGCTGTTCCATGAAGAATGCTCTTTGTGGTTTCTTTGGTCCTTTCAATGAAGTAGATCTTTTTCATTCCACAAATAATTTGTTTCCTTTGATGTTGGGTTATCAAGCATGATGGGAAAAACCAATCGATACAATTTGTTGCTTAGTTCAAATCTTCCAACTCAGGTACTGACTGTGGGGAAAATAACCCTCTTAGTTATTTAAAAGGACTATTTAATTTTGCAGTGTACCTTTGTAGAACTGTTTCTACTTGAGTTTTAGTTGCACCTGAAAGCACAAGGAGGCTACACGACTACACCTGAGACCGTAAAGATGGAATCCACCTCTTGGAGCTGCTGTTACATGCTACAGCTGCTGTACTGGATCAGTGTTGTACAGTCCAATGCTGGAAATGTTTATGCCTTGCTACTTGCTGCTTTTTAAGTGCAAAGCTTGTGTTCCGTAGAGAATAAACTGTCCTGTATATTTGCAAATACTCAAAGAAGGCTGAGGTCCAACATTATTTTCTGAACTCCTGCTATCTTAGTATGAATTAGGGCTTCTTTCATTTACAGGTATATGCTGTGGTTTTGTAGGAGAAATTTCTGTTGTATTTGTGACTGTCTAAAACCATGGCTAATTTCAGGCAGACCTTAAGAAAAATAAAATATGAATTTTTCTAGGATACTATTCCTAGATGAATCTTGCCTCCTATTTGGATTTATGTACTTTGTGGAATAAAGATACAAAAGTCCATTAAATGTCTCTTAAATCACTTAAAAGGGACATTTTCAGAAGTGAGCAAATTACTGTAAACTTGCAGTATGCATATAACGAGACCTTGTTCCAGAAGTATAACAGCTGTTCCTGTGTATTGCTAACATATTTTGGACATTGTCAATACCTGAGCTCAGAGGGCCAACAGATTGCTGAATATATGTTGCATTTTGAAGAAGATTTGAGGCCTCTATACAAGGAGATGTTGTGTTCATGTTGACTTTTGAGAGCATTCCTTCCAGCATCTTTTTTCTTTATGGGCTTTTATGAGACCTGTCCTCCAAGATGTATACGTGGCAGTTTGGCAAGGTATGCATTATGTTTTAAATACATTGTACAAGGTCATAGCATCTAGCAACAAGTGTCTGACAAGCTGCATAGCTTGGAAAACTGATATTTCGTTTAAATGCTTCTACAGCAAAATCTTGCTGGAATGTATTGCCAGAGTCTTTTCTGTCTGTATGACTTCTAAATAATAGGAAGGCTGGATGGAGTCTCACTGGAAGTATCCAAGTATGTCCAGACCTTAGTTTACCAAGGCTGTAGCAACAGGCATTCCTTCATAACCTATTTTCATCATAGAAAATACATATGGATACTTATATTGTGGGTTGTGATTCAGTTATTGTTAAGGCTATATATATCTCATTTTTAGTATCCTCTCTATTTTGCTGTGTTTCTCACTGTAATTATGTATGCTTCTAGCCAACAGAGTTGTACTTGCTTTTCATGCACAAGGAGCCAATCTGTTCCATTTGCATCTGGTTCTTAGCAGAAACACATGCTGACCTCAGGTACAATTTTTCATGTTCCCCTGTATTGCAAAAATCTTTGATTTCTGTACTGTATGTATGCTTTAATGTTTACAAATGGATGTTGAAAGCATGTGTTAAGTATGCTTTTTTATGTTTTTTTTTTTTTTTTTCCTTTCTTTTTTTTTAATCTTCAGGTTCATGCCAGACTGGACATAATTCACAAAAACTGAGATTTCTTTACTGCACCCCCTCCATCGTTCCTAACTCAGTTATTCCAAAGGAGCTTAGAACGCTTTTAAGGTTTTAATAGTGATTTCTTAATTTCTAGTTGAATATGTGAATACCATTTTACCTAGTGAAGTTTTTTATTGCTCTAAAATCGGTTACTGAAAACCGTGTTTCTTCAGCTGAAGTTATAATTCATGGTGCTACTGTATTTTCTGAAAGCTATTTTTAAATCCTGCAGGTACCCTGGAGGCTAAAAACAATTACATTTGCCTTTTTTTTTTTTTTTTCAATGTAAATGTAACATAAAAAGAAAATAAAATTCCTTCACCTTAATTCTTTCTTCTTTATAGAACAAAGTTAAAGAAACTCAGGAAGATTAGTTTAGCAGTAAGGTTTCTATCAAACTTAAATATGCATTTAATAGTAAGCTAATGAAACATTTTTACTTCTTCACTGTCAGATGCAAAGAAGAACATAAAACTTTGTTTTAAAGAAATTCACCCACTTAAATTGCAGACTTTGAACTACTTGGTCTTGCTTTTTGCTCAGTGCAATTTATTAAGAGGTCTAGGTATAACTAATACAAAGTAGGAACACTACTGGAATTACTTGGCCTGTAATTCAGTTTCTGCATGTTTAAATGTTGCTGCCTGAGTTTTTTGCAGTCTGTTTTTTGGCATGCATAAAAGCTGCTGGAGTTGGAGGTATTGAGGAATGTTCCACAAGATTAGGGATAAAAGTTGACCCTGTGAACCTCCTTACACTAGAAAGTATTACAAAGGAGGGAGTCAGAGCTTTCTCTGAGTTCAAAGTGAGGGGTTCTGGACAAATTCCCCTGATTTATTTAGGCAAGCCTGAAATAGAATACAGTTTTCTACCAGAACTCTCTTCAAATCTGTTTTATGCTGTGTACCTTACAGGAAGGATATGTTTGTATTTTCTCTGTATGTATCTTACTAAAAGATTAAAAACACGTTTTATTATCTGCTCTTTGGTATTCATGAGTCTTCAGATGGTAAACGCATTTAGCTAAGACTTGCAAAACTTTATTTGAAACTAAAAATGGCTTGCTGCCTTACAGTTAATATAACTGAAAAGTGACTCTTGCCCTTGAACTGAAACAAAATAGCAGATCTTAACATCAAATCATGTTGCTTTGTCCAAAAGGAGCGGGCTTAACTCCATTCTAGTGTATTATAGCAGTGAGCCTGTCATTGATTTCTTCGTATTTAAACTTGAAAACATAGGAGATAAAATACTTAGATTAAAAAAAAAAAGTATCAGAGTCCCTCTAGGTTCATGATACTCTGTCTGCATTTCAGCATTGGCTGATTTGGAAGGGAAAATTTGAAAGCTGTGTTTGCTGACCCATCATGAACACTAAGATGAATGTTCATGAAGTTTGAAACCTGTTTTTATGTAATGAGCCTATGATACTCTGAACAGTCTATAATTTTTATGCGTGTATTCTTAAGGATTAAAATGCATTATGTTTTCTGGCCAGAATGCAGTTTGCAGTGTGGCATCTGGTCTTACTTTGTACTGTTACCTATAATGTCACGTCATATGAGGCTAGGTTTGCCCATCCACAGAATGTATA